CTCATTTCATCTGGCTATTAATTCTTCTAAAAAAAGTAAGTAGTAAACTAGATAGCCAGTAGCTATTCACATGTAGTTATACATTCTCAAATATGCAGTGTTGAGTGGCTTGATGAACCACTCGGATTAGTAACTGAGGAGATTATTAAACTGGTTTTGCAGGCTCTGTTTGACCTGACAGGGAAGTTAGTTTCTAAATAGTATGTTGGGGCAGTATGATAGCAAAGGACTGAAACATCCTTTGTACAGACCCTTTCACTGTCTGTCCCCTGGATGTGTGTGGTAGAGAGAATGGTGACAACTGTCTGCTGTGTGGGTCAAGTGTTTCCAGTGTCATGCCAATAATTAAGAACAATTTTCCCCTTTATGCTCAGTGGAAGGGGAATTCTAAATAAAAATAAATCCCTGAAGCTGCATGACTTCCTTGAAAGCCCTGAAATCCAAAGGTAGCAAGCACTCAGCCCTGCATTTTGAGTGCTGCCTCTATGGCAAGAGGCTGATTGTGTCTCTGAATCTCACTTCAATTTGCTTTAGTTTTTACTTTGTAAAAAGTCAAGTCCGTGTAGTGTGGCTGTTCCAGGTGTCTGTTTGCAGTGCTCTGCTATAGCTTCTGTAAATTCCAGGGGAAAATGCTTTGACCTTTCTACAATCAGGTGAACAGTGCTTAAATGTCAGCTATAAATTTTCTAGTGTAGAAGCTGGCTGTGGATGGACACACGGACAGGGAACAAGTGGTTTGTTAGCACTGGCAGTCTCAAGCTCCCTTCCTAGTTAATACTTTGATATTATACTGCAGTGGTTTTCCCTTTGGTTGAAGTGGTGTCCCCAAAAAAAAGTAGATGAAGTTTTAGTCATCTCCGACTTGGAACATTGTTATGGTGAAAATGAGGGTTGCACTGAAGTAGAATGGAGAAGTGGGAAGCTCTGGCCTATTAAGAAAGAGCTCCTTTGTTAAAGGCTTTTGGCAGTTGCGTGATCAGAAATACACCAACCTTCAGCAATATTGCACAGCTAAACCTAAACAAGGGAAGTGCAGGCCTCAGAAGTGGCTAATGATAGTGACTGCTTGGAAATTGGACGCTTCTTCAAGGGAGAAATCTGATCATAATAGAGTAGGTGGCTGTGTCTCTGAAGGTTAGACCATGTTTTGGATGACTAATTGAACACCTGTAGTTGTTAACAAGTTAAAACTCCACTGAAAAATTGGTTTATGCCTGATTTGTATAAAACCTGAGTTTCTTCTCTCTCCCCCTCCCCTTCCTATCTTCTATTTAGCAATAACCTAATTTACTAGGGCATAATCATGTTTATGTGGTGTCCCTAAGGATTGTGTGAAGTGAAGTTGAAATTCTCTCCTGTAGCAGGACATCTGTTATGGGTAGGAGTAGCTTTTTAAATATGGAAAATGGGTGCTTCACTTAAATTGCTCTTCTGAGAACATAGTGGGTTTTATTTTTTATAATTTGGTGAGTTTGTATATTGTTACAGGTTAACAGAATAAGGAGCTTGACATGACAATTGTTGGTTGCAGGAGGTGCTACGAGTCTGTACTCGAGGTGTGTGAATGGCAGCTTACGTTGAATTAGGGACTGATTAAATATGTAGGAGGTGTCCTAAACAACTTTCTGCAGGGATATAAACTTGTGGATACTATTTGATGATGATTGTAAGAGGGGCAAGGACATGAAACTAGACTAGCTTCTCTTTGTGCTTTTAGCTTTCTCTTTTTTGTGGGAGGGGGGAAAATAAAAAGGCTTGATTGGGACCTTGAACAGGTTGTACTTCTAGTTTGAAGTGAGGATCCCCAGGCCTTGAATTCACACAGCAGGTTAACTGAGAAAGGTAGATCTATGGGGTGGATGCCTGTGGCTGTGTGAGGAGCACAGATGTGCAGAGTGACACAGCTTCTTCCCCTGCTCGATGTGCCACTGGCAGGATTGTCTGGTTTCACTGGGATGCTTTGACAGAAGAATTTCTGGAGCAACCTGGCCTGCAATACAAGGCTTTGCTGCTTACCAAAGTCTGTTTGCTGCTGACAGATAATTCCAAAGGGTTGTAGTTCAGTGTCTTGGTTTTTGGCTGGGCCAGAGCTCATTTTCCTCTTAGTTCTGTGTTTTGGTTTCAGTGTGGGGTTTGTTAGAACTGTTGCTAATGTACTAATAATGTTAGCAATTGTCGCTGGAGAATGAAGGACTTTCCACCTTCCCCGTGGTTTGCTAGTCCGTGGGTGCAGAGGACTGGTGGGGCATAAAATGAGCAAACCCAAATTGGCACTTGGGAGATGCCAGTGGGATATTCCATATCATGTTCAGTGTGTTAATGAGGGTCAGCTGGAATGCTGGGTCTTTCATGCTCTGGCTCTCTCTCTCTTTCTCCTCCTGGTTTGTTGCTCCTCTGGGATCGTAATCTGGGAACGCACTGGGCTTGATCAGTGCAGTTGCACTGTGCATCACTCATTTGTGTATTCTATTATCACCATTATTGTTGTCATTATTATTTTAAGTTTTATTTCAATTATTAAATGGTTTTTATCTCAGCCTGCAGGTCTCCTTACCTTTACCCCTTCAATTTCCTCCTGTTTCCTGGGGGTGAGGGGAGAGTGAGTGAGTGGCTGTGTGATGTTGGACTGTTGGCCAAGTTAAACCACCACCTTGGGGTGGGATTGGGAAGTAGATAATTATTATGTAGGGAGTTGGTATTGGCATGAAAATTGCAGGGGGGTGATTTAATTCTTTTACCAAAACTTTATTGCTGGTTTACTGGTGGTGATATTACTTGCATGCTAAATCATTAATATCCTTGGCGTGGGAGGAGGTATGCAGAAACTCCTTCCTCTTAGAAAAAGAGGAGAGTATTGGCTTATCTTTTACCTTGCTGTATTTTTAAGATCAATTTCCTTGTATCACTTTCCAAATCATCAAGTCATTGTTCTATCTGCATAATATAATTTGAAAGCAGGGGAAAAAAATAAGGGAAAATTTAGCTCTGTTTAAAATGTATTTGGTGAGACCCTGTTGATGAGCTAAGACAAAATGCAGCCCTTCCCTTGGAGAGGTGTCCTTGTGCCATCTCATCTGTAGTTGCTTCAGTCACACAGGACACATCTAGGGCTCTAAATGTCACTTTTTGAAATCATGTTTCAGGCTCTTGGTTTTTGTACTGTTTTTATGCTGTTGGGCGTGAGTTTATTCAGAGGATGCTCTATCTGTGCAAGAAGAACTTGAACTTCCAAGGGTACTGATGGTTGCTTGATAGTTTTCATTCCTTGGTTTTGTATTGTGGTTCCCACATCAGTAATAAGAGCTACGAGCTGTTATGATTCTGTAACTCTTTTCACTTTTGGCTGTGCACTGTGCATTAAGCAAACAAGCTTTGCTCGTATATAACAACAGTTGAAAGTTGGGGTTTTTTGTCAGCTGTTCATGCTGTGAGTGGTGTCGTTTTGGCTCAGGGGTGTTTGGGTGCAGTTGCCTGGACTGTGAGGGGGGGGCTGAGTGTGCATTTAGACCATAATCCTCAAGGCCATCACTATTGTTAGAAAACTGGCTGCAATTGCATGTTGCTGTAGTGACAAACTGGACGTGACCTCAGCACAAGTCTTTAAAAATACAGTTTTGTTGTAGTTATAAAACATCCCCTCTGACATTAGAAGGAAGTTAAAGAATAATCTCAGAAGGGTAGATCTGGTATGCAGTGTAGTTTTGGAGTATTGGATAGTGCTCTTAAACCTTTAAGATTAGATTCTTTCAGTTGCCTAAACATGTTTTGGAAAGTTGAAAGTTTGTTTTCTAGTGTGAACTTATGTCCCTACAGGCACTATTAACTCTGCTGGAGTTCTGTTTGGAAGTCCACAGGGCTACAGCCCCAGGCAGGAGTAGAAGGCAAGGAGGGGATGTTTGGTTTTGTATTTGTTTTCAAAAAAGGTATTAGTCTCGGTTACAACTCTGGTTTTGGAAGAAAAATATGGAATGTGATTCAAAGGAGAAAAGGTGAGCAAGGCACAAGTTTTGTGTGGGGGTTTTTTGGGGAGATGAAACTACGAGCAGCATGCTAGGAGTGTTGCCTGTTGTATCAACCTAAAGGTGCAGTGATCTTGCAGTCTTTCTAGCAAGAAAGTAAAGTTGAAACTCATTTTACTTATGAGATTGTTTGAGCTGCAGCTTGACAAGGTCTACCACGCTTTTAGGTGTGACAATGTGTTGGCCACCTTATAAATTAGTTGTAGTGTGATACTTTAATTCTGTAGAGCCTCTCTTAACAGAGAGTCGTCTTCTTTGGTTGTCTTGTTAAATTAGAGCTTGAAAGAGAGGAATGAAGTGAGCTGTCTGTTAAATAGTAAGAAATTTTCTCCTGAGTGCCTCAGTAGCCTCAACTTACAGACATCTGCTAGTAGTATCAGTGACTTTTGGCAGTAATTCCAGAGTAAAACCCGGAGAAGAGGACTGATGAATGAAAATGCCAATATCTCCCAGTTGAAAGGACAGAAAATATTGACCAGGAGATAGAGGATTGATTACTCTCTGCTTGAAAGACCTAATTGTATTTCAGTTCCTGATCTGAAGGGAACTTTCAGTTTCTGCATGTTGCATTTCAAGTCCTTTATAAACAAGAAATAAGTTTGCTGTTTGGACTTTTGCAGTTGCATAGGCAGGGGTGTTATGTACATGTGTCTGCTCTTCTGCTCGTGAACCGTGGCAGCAAAATTACGATGCTTCTGCAGTGTGATCTGCAGGACTTGCACACATGGTCCTCCACTCAGTTCATGTCTGTTGTGTATTAAATACTTTAGCTTTGTGTTGTGTTCCTCTCCAGCTTTTAGAGCTGCCTTAAGGAGCCAAATGCAGTAAGTAACAGAACTGAAAAGATAATTTTGCCCTTTTCTTTCAGTGGTATGACTAAGCACTTTACCTTTTGTCTTGAATGCTTGTTTTTTCTACTGAGAAGCAATGCTTCACTCTGCATGCAGTACTGACTTGACCTCTTTACCTTGTCTTCTTCAGACCATGGAGCTGAAATGGCTACTGTGTGTGACCCTGCTGGCTCTGGGGACTCTTGCTGTCCAGGCACATGATATGGATGATGAAAATGATGGTGATGATGTAGTTGATATTGAGGATGACTTGGATAATGGCATTGAGGAGGCAGAAGAGTCAAAGCCTGAAACAAGCACTCCTCCTCCAACTCCAAAGGTTTGGCATGGAACTTATTTTAAAAATTGAATTACCACTGGTGTTGTGGTTAATGTGTCTGATCAGAGTTGTCTTTACTTTGCTAACATTTAATATGTTGTCATGTTATTGGGGAGTAGGGCTTGGAATTAAGCCTAGCTGCTTCATTCCTGTTCTCAAGTCCCCCTGAAGTGTTCTTCCTGAAAACTTGGATCCACCATTAAAATATGTGATTATCAAGAGTTAATGTGAATGTTTCCAGCTATATATACTTTAGTTTTAGTTGCAGACAAGAGCACAATGGCTTGGCACAAGCAGCAATATTTACATAACTTCCATGTTTTTGCTGCAAGAGTGTTCCAGGTAAGCTGTACTTGAGTGCAGAGAGGGAAAGTGAGCTGTATATGCCTGAATTTCTTCAGAGTAGAGAATGTGCTTTGAACAGTGCATAATGCTTCTCTTCTCCCATAGGTTACCTACCGGCCCCCAGTCCCAACTGGTGAGGTGTATTTTGCAGAATCATTTGATAAAGGGACTCTGGATGGGTGAGTATGATCTGAAGGGTGGTTCAGCATAGCAAATAATTAAAAATTTTGGTGAAAGGCGATGAAACCTTCTCTAGAGCCTGTGTTACTAAAAATAGAATCAAAAGACAGGGGTTGGTGAGGATTACAGCAGGGACTATATGAGGCTGGCTGTTAAAGGGCTGAGCTAAACTAGTATTTCCTTAAGTTCTTGTATTAAGGGGGAGGTGAGTCAGACGTGTAATGTTTTAATCCTCATCTGACTTTTTGCTTTCTTTAGGCAGTATGAGGATGATGAGGTACTACTTTGGGGTTTTTTTTTCACAAGAGCAAAACACTAAGACCATGATCCTACTTTGGGGGTGGGATGAGAAGTGGCAAATGCAGAAAACTTCAGGCATGGGGGTAAAACTCTTCAGGGTATCAAGACACTGGGGTGTAGTCGTAGGACAGCAAGTGTTATCTTAAGGGCAGGATTTTTAATGGGGGGGTAAAAAAGTCTAGTTTTCTGATTGTTGGATGTCTTTCTTTTAGATGGATCCTTTCCAGAGCCAAAAAAGATGATACAGATGATGAGATTGCCAAATACGATGGTGAGTCCAACCCAGGTTTTGGATGGTAGATGGTTCTGATGTATTTTGTCATATCTGAAGAAGAGGTGCAAGTTTCAGTCTTCTGTTTCCCAGTTAAAATTCTATTCACTGAAGAAAATGGCAGGAGTTTAGACAAAATATCCACTTGGAGATGTTAAAGTGATTTTTAGTGAAGACGTTATGCTAATAACTTGATAAGATACCCTATAGGGTGTTATTGCAGAATGATGACTATATTACCCAAAATTGGGCTAAACAAAGAATGTCTTAAACAAGTTTTGATAATGTTTGGTTAATTTCCCCCCAGGTAAATGGGAAGTCCAAGACATGAAGGACACTAAGCTTCCAGGAGACAAAGGGCTTGTGTTGGTAACCCGAGCCAAGCATCATGCAATTTCATCCAAGCTCTCAAAGCCTTTTGTATTTGATACCAAACCCCTTATTATACAGTAAGTAAAGGATAAGTTAGTGTTCTGTCATTTCCAGGGTGGCCTGACAGCAGGCTGAGGTTAATTCCATAACTGAGCTTTTGTTGACTGGGAGTCTAGATGACACAAGATGCTGTAACCTATTATCATACTGTTTAAGTAAGGGTAAAAAGGCAACCCAGATTCCCAAAGTGGAAAGCTAGGAACAGCATGGGTCCTTCTGAAGTCTGAAAAGGAGAGAAGTCTGTGAGAACTAGACTTGGTAACCTTTCTTGGGACTTCAATTCACTTGATTTAATTGTCATAACAAGGTCAGGCAACTGACTTTTGTAGTGCTAATTGTGAAAATCCTTGTCCTTTTGGACAAAACCTGGTCTGTTGCAGTTCCTTATGCAGTGAACTGCCCCATGTGTCCAAAGTGGAGTGGGCAGAGTGGTAAAGATGCTCTCGTTTCCTCCTTCCCTTGTCTTAGTTCATCTGTCATGGAAAATGAACGGCTTGCCTAGCTCTGTTTGGCCATGACTGATGTAGAAGAATCTACTTCCATGTAGAGGGGGGGAAAAAAAATCATTCAGTGTAAACAGTTGAATTGTGGATTACTACCTACTTTATCAGTTTTAAACAAAGAGTAAGCTTATTCATATTTGCATAAGATAATAATTGGTCACTTTGCTTTGCATGACTGTTTAGTTTTGGCTCAAAATACATGGCTAAAAATAAATCCCAATGGTCATCTGCTCCAGCTGCTGGCATTGAGAGAGGATCAAGCATACTTAGCCTATTCCTGACAGAGATATTTTGCCCTTTTCAGCCTCCTTGGCATCCCTAAATATATTGTTTTATGCTTAGAACCCTAGAGGAGCTTCTCCTAGGTTCCAGTTCTCATTGTGTTGGTAGTCTTGCAAATTGAGTTGTCTGTCTGCCATAGTAGTTGGTGGGGAAAATAATTGGCTTGTCTTAATCTCTGTTGCAGTCTCATACATATTGTAAAGCTTTTTCTTCCTTCTATCTACTTCTAGATCATAATCTTCAAGAGCAGCACTCAATTCCTTTAATCTTTTCTGTAAGGTTAAGTCTTCTAAATCCTCAATTTTTTATGTTTCTCAGGCCCTGTGAATATTTGCTTAGTCCTTAGAGCGTGGCATATATTTTTAATATTCACTGGGCATGTGACTTAAAGCAAACAACAACAAAACAGTCTTACTCTTAATTTGTACTGGAGAATTGTAGTTGTGTATTACAGAAGTAATTTTTCCTCATGTATAACATGTTCTCCTGTTCTGTGTCCAAAACTAAAATTAGGTATGAAGTAAATTTCCAAAATGGAATAGAGTGTGGTGGTGCCTATGTGAAATTGCTTTCAAAAACCCCTGAACTGAACCTGGTGAGTAATGCTGCTACTGTGAGTTTTAACTGTGAAAAAAATCTTTTTCATTTTGCTCCTTCCTGAAGGAATCCCTTTAGTAAAGGTGGTGGGGCATACTTAGGGCCTGATCTCTGAAGTACTTTGCACTCAGCAGTTTCCCCCTGTTTTCAGTTGGAGAGGATAAATACTGAAATCTCCCGGCCTCTTGAGTGAAAACTGTATTTTCTTAGTAGCTGAGCAGTTCTAGACCTTTGCTGAAGTCTGCAATACTTCAGATTTCCTTAGGCTCTAGGACTGAAGAGCAGGTATCTTATGAGTAGCCAATCTATGAGGAGAAACCTGCTCAGGAGGCTGTTGCCCAGAAGAAGGCTTCCATGTTTCATCTAAAACAGGCTAATGGAAATAACTAAAAATATACATTGTATTTATTGCCTTGTCTTTGATATGTGAACCCACTTGTGAGTTCCTGGGTATATTTTAAAAATTAAAACTACTGAGAGGTTGGACTAGATAATACAACCTTTACGTGTTCAGCTGCACGTGCTGAACCCTTTACTTCATAAATCACCCTTGAATGCATTGTCTTAAAACTGTGGTCAGTGGAAGAGCCTGTGCTACAGCTCACAAGGATTAAGAATAATTTTCTCTCCTCTCAATCATATACCTACGTAAAGTGCTTTAGTCTATTCAGACAAAGCTTAACTGCTGGGTCACCTTGCATGGGCTTGTGTAGTCCTGTGGGTTTTCTTTAGCCATCTTCCTAGGCTTTATAGGAAGTATCTTTTATGACTTGTTACCCATCCTTCTCCTTCCCCTCTGTGGTCTCATTGGAGTTGTGTTATTAATAGAGATTCCAAGTTATGAAAAAAAGACACACAAAAATCTACTTGGCTGTCTAAACAGTTTCATATGTCATTGAATTTTACAATAACATCAGCAAGAACAAATAGACTTGCTTACAGTGTTCAGAGGTGAGATTATCATATCCTGTTAGCTCTCAGATTGAGACAGCACACCAGTTTATAAGTGTGTAAACTAAATACAACTTGGCCTCACTTTTAATGCTGCTTATCACTTTGTGTGAAAGAAACTCACTGGACTAGCCAGTCATTTGTTATTACCAGTAACTGATATTTGTATATTGATTGCTTTTAAATCCTTTATTGTAATGTAGAGATATACTTAAATGTTGTGGTTGTCACTTACACTTATCTTTTTGATAACAGTTGAATAGCTGATGGTTTTTCATCTGGAAAGTAGAGACCAAAGGTGCAAAATCAAGTAGCTGGGATAATCCTGGTGTTTTCTGTAGAGGCTTGTAGTCATGATAGAAGCTTTTGTGTGGGTACTTCATTGGCTTGATATTGAAGTTGCAGAATAATTTCTAATTAATTTGGAGTTCTTATGCCCGGCAGTGACCTAAGTTATATTTCAAAATAATGCAGTGAAGTTTTGTGTTGCTTTTAAAGGACCAGTTCCATGACAAAACTCCATATACAATCATGTTTGGCCCTGACAAATGTGGAGAGGACTATAAATTGCACTTCATCTTCCGGCACAAAAATCCAAAGACTGGCAAATATGAGGAGAAGCATGCAAAGCGTCCAGATGCAGACCTGAAGACTTACTTTACTGATAAGAAGACCCATCTTTATACTCTGGGTATGGTGACTATTAACTATGCATGTTAATAACTACTACTATGTTTCCTGAATCACGAGCCCATAAAATGAGTCAGATGAACAACTGAATATTTGTGTCAACTCACCATACAACTAAAAACCACTTGAAAGCTCTGAATGCAAAAGCTGATCTTACTATACAAAGACTTACTTCTTTCTTGCAAGAAGTCTTGATTCATGTAAGAAAGGTCATGAGACCTTGAACTTAATAGTTACAGGAGAACTGAATTTCAGAGCAGTCATGAGTAACTTGATATGCTAAGTATATCCAAAATAATTATCAACATTTATAAACTGTTTGAATGCTGCCCCCTGGTAATTTGGGGTATACTAGGCTTTAGATTTAGAGGGTTAGTCTTTTTTTATCGCTGCTTTCATAGTAGCACACAAACTCAGTGCTTCTTGAAGTACAGTGTCTGGTCTGGTGTATTAGCTGTGACTTAAATCTTTCAGGGAGTACTTGGGGATATCTCGTAGCTTTTCCTATTACAGAAGCAGCAATGAATAAAGGAGCAAGGTTAAAATCCTGTGAGTCAGTAGCAGGGAGTCTTACATGTACTCTTACTACTAAAGCAATACTTACTGTGGAACATCAACTTGCTGTGGTGACTGGTAAACCACTCTACAAGTGTGATTTACTCTTCTTTGTGCTTTTAGCATATTTAAAGCAGGACTCCTGCAATGAGTCTTCTTTCTCAGAAGGTGAGATGTGATACATCATCACTAGTTATACTTTGGCACGAGGAGAAAGGTTCTTAACAAACCTTTAAAACGCTTGCTAGGTAGGTGGTAGTTGGGATTGCTGAAATTTTAGTGGTACAGTGGGGGCGAGTTGATGCTTTATGATGCACGCTTTGTATCGCATGTGTAATGGCTGCATCATCAACTTTTTTCTTGCAGTCTTGAATCCTGATAATAGTTTTGAAATACTGGTTGATCAAACGGTTGTCAACAGTGGGAATTTGCTAAATGATATGACACCTCCTGTGAATCCACCCCGAGAGATTGAGGACCCGAATGACCAGAAGCCTGAGGACTGGGATGAGAGACCAAAAATCCCAGACCCAGATGCTGTTAAACCAGATGACTGGTAAGCTTTTGGAGAGATGGAATTGAAGGAGGCCTTAGCCTTAATTTGGTCCTGATCAAAAAGTCTTTCTCAGGTGACTTCTAGAAGGTTTTGAGTCTCACCCTTGTGATCAAAACACAGTCAGTTTGGGCATCTGAGTAGCAGTTTGGTAGATAAAGGCAGACAGGATACAAGTCATCTGAGAATTGCTGTTTAGTGCTTCTTTTACTATGCTGGCCACAGATGAAGGTTTTACTAAAACAGCTATGCTAGCTGATGCTTTCATCGAGGTGTTTGTAGTTGTTTGTGTAATGCATAGTTACAGGTGACTGAAATACCTGACATCCTAAATCAGAAACTGATATTAGGTTCCTGTCCTTGAACCTATGCTTTGTGAACCAGAGAATCCATTTTGAACTCAAATGTGTGTTCACAGTGATAAGAGATGTGGGATTTGCTGTAATGTGCCCTTTCTAGGTTGGTTTTAAATGTAGTATTTGGTAATTTCTAGGTTGGTAATACATGTAGTATTACCTTACAGTTGGTGCCATGACTGTGCCATGAGGCACATGTCTGGGTAGCAGATTGCAAGGCAATTCTGTTCTAAAATCATGGTGTTACACTTAACTTGTCAGAAGTGTGTCTAGATCAGTGGACTTGTTCAAAGTCTGTGGATTCATGCCTTAGGGTTGAGAACTTTTCTGTGCTATGTGTGTTACTATGTAATATTCTGTTCTCAAGGGATGAGGATGCTCCTGCAAAGATAGCAGATGAAAATGCTGTGAAACCAGAGGGCTGGCTGGATGATGAGCCAGAATACGTAGCAGACCCTGATGCGGAGAAGCCTGAAGATTGGTATGTTTACTGCCTGTTGCAAATGACAGCAATTATTTCATGGCTCTGGTACTGGGTTTTACAAGTATAAGAATACATAGTTCATTGTTGTTTGCTAACAAAGTTGTCAATTCTGGGTAGCCTGCTTGAAAAGGAGAAAGCAGGGTTGGTCTGAGAAGTCTTGTCTTCTTGGATTCACCTGCACCCTTTTCAACTCTTCTGTGACTGTAAGCTGAATAGGGCAGGGATGGTCATCTTGCAGCTGTACCATACTTGGAAGGGGTGGTGGGGGGGGCTGTGCTCAGGGACTGGCTTTTGTTGAGCTTCTGAGCTTCCAAGCTACTTTTTGAAATCCTCATTCCTTCTGCAGTATCTTTACCTACAGCCCTATGCTATACAAAGTTTTTAGTATCTATATTTTATGGTGGGAATTTTAATTTTCCCAGAAATCAGACATTGTCTAGGTCTTAGTCTGTATAAAGACAAGAGGTGGACTTCAAAGCTGAATTTCCTTTTTCAGGGATGAAGATATGGATGGTGAATGGGAGGCACCTCAGATTGCAAATCCTAAATGTGAGGCAGCCCCTGGCTGCGGTACCTGGCAGCGACCAATGATTGACAATCCAAACTACAAAGGCAAATGGAAACCTCCTATGATTGATAACGTGAACTATCAGGTTGGTATTTTCATTACTTAAACTGCCAGGCAATACAGCCTAATTTCTATTAGAAAAAGCAGAATTATTTAGATTCAGCAGGTGTAATTAAGAATTAATTAAGAATACCAATACTGTCACGATTGTAGTGTATTTCAAGTGGACAGATTCAAAGTGCTTTCTTACTTGACCTCACTTCTTTGTACCACAAATAAAAATTGATTCCCAGAACCTGACAAGTTGCACCCACGGGCACTGTAATTAAGTGCAATGGATTGGTCTTTCTTTCAGTTCAAATTGGGCTGCAAACTAAAAATTGTATTATAACAGATGAGGCTGAATGTCTTTTGTCTTCCTTAGGGTATATGGAAACCTAGAAAGATCCCAAACCCAGATTTCTTTGAGGACT